CACACAGCTAAGTGGTTTGCTAGCAGTAAAGGCATCAACTTTTCCATGAATCTTTGCCCACAAGTCAGCCATATTTTAGGAGATTCAAGGAATCTGGAAAATACTTAAATTTTCTTACTTTCCTCTAAGTGCTGGGAATTGCAAAAAATTCTTTGGATCGGGGTCTCATTCTGTCACTTAGACTGAAGGGCCGTGACACTGATCATAGCTTACCACAGCCTCGACCTCTGGGGCAGATGCCATCCTTCTGCCTCAGCCTCCTTGCTGAGTAGCTAGGCATACAGGCAAGCACCACCTTGCCCAGCTGACCTTTTTATTTTTTTGCAGAGATGAGGTCTCGTTCTGTTGTCCAGGCTGATCTCAAACTCCTGGCCTCAAGAAATCCTCCTGCCTTAGCCTCCTAAAGTGCTGAGGTTACAGGTGTGAGTCACCATGCCCGGACAGAATTGCATTTTAAAAAACAGATTCAGTGTAACATTTGCATTGAGGCTCGATTTGGGTAGCATAGACCTGAGAGTTCCTATTGTGAAGACAGAGTGGACAGAAGATGGAAGTAATCACATCCTGCTTAGATCCAGTTACTGTTGGTCAACCCGCTAAGATCAACAGAGTTCAACAAGATGATGTTGGGTTTGGGGAATTTCTGTTCAGCTTACTGGTGGGGGGTGATGGGGAAGGTGGGGTCAGCCCATCAGCCAGGAAATGTGCAAATATGGCCAAATGGGTCCCAGCCATACACAAAAGGGCCTCCACGAACTCATTCATTCAGCGTGCAGAACTGCTTTGTGAAATGACTGAAGCTGTTTCCAATAAAAATTTCCTGTTTCCTCCTTGACACATTTGTCTGTTGTTTGCTTAGAGAAAACCCAGGTATAAAAGTTTCATTGTATTTTCATTATATTTTTAGTTTCTAGTGGCATTTTTGCCTGGTGGGGAATGTTTTTTAAAAAATCGTCTTCATAGTTTTTACAATACCACCCACAAATACTGAAAGGAAAATCACACCCTCAGAGCTGGTTAGAGGCCCCCAAAGGCACATGGGGCAGGTGTTAAGGTGACTGAAGAAATACAATACATACATGGTTTTCTTTAATATTTTTAAAGTGTTCATTGTTACATTATATCATTTTAAAAAGGAAGGACCTGTCTTGCAGGAAGAAACTTGTATTTCTGTAAGTCATTGCTTTCTTTCCCACTATGGTATTTGAATGTATAAAGTTTGTTCAATTTTTTTTTTTTTTTTTTTTTTAGGCAGGGTCTTGCTAAGTTGTCCAGACTGGTCTTGAACTCCTGGGCTCAGATGGTCCTCTCACCTCAGCCTACCGAGTAGCTGGGACTATAAGCAGAAAACCTGTTTTAAGGAAAGGTGTTTCTTTCTCTGCCTATTTCCTCATGTGTTTATCTTGGGGATGATATAAGTAATCTACATTTTCGAAGAGTAAATAAAGTGATAAACATTAAGTATTAGCTCAGGAACTTGCACATATTAAGTAGTCAGCAAATAAGTCATTGATAGTGCTGTTGAGAGGCATCTGGGAAGGCAGCATAGAGGAGGTGGCATTTGTCTGAATCTTGAAAAATGAGTGAAATTTGAGCTTGAGCAGATGGGAGGGCATTTCAGGCCAGGGATTTCACAGTGGTGTGTGTGGAGATGAGCACAGGGTTTACTTTGGCTGGGATACAGGAGTACAGAGTGCTGAAAAATTAGGTTAGATGCCAGGTGGAGAGCCTTGAAAACCAACGCAGAGGTGTTTAGACTTGATTTTTTAGGCAGTGGAGCTCCAGCGACATTTGTGAGGGAGAGACAAGACCAAACTATAACTCAGGAAGCTTGGTAAGTCGGGGCTAGTGGGGATTCTCTGAAGAGAGGTGATTCTAGTAAGGGCCTCAATCTGGGAATGAAACTAGAAAGGTTATTCCCTACCTGACTTGCTTGTAAACATAGATTCACTTCATATTAAACTGAAATATTGATACTGTCAGAGCAATGCTCATATTGGAGTGTTAGTACTTACTCTTGACCTATGAATTACAAAGGATGAGACTAAGTCAACAAGTATTCCATTTTCTTAAAAAATATGTGACAGCTTTTTCCTTTTTTTCTGATTCTAACTTAGAAACTGTGGGTTACGTTCTCATCTGAATGCAGCCTGAGTTTTCATGAGTGGACATTTTGTGACTTAAAATTGTTATAGGCTTGTCTGTTTTCCATGGTTTCCTATCGAAAAGAAAGACAAACTCCTATCAATTGTAGGATGAAGAAGAAGAATGGTAAAATTACTAGATCTCTGCAGTTCTTGGAAGTGCTGCCTGTTAGCTGTTGTATAAGCTGTTAATTAAATTATCTGCTGGAGAAGCAAGCCTGCACCTGTTCACATCATTTCTTTCTAACTACAGGGCCCTAAGAGTGACTGTTTGGACACAGCATTTTTAAGATCAGTCTTTGGTCATTTGGGGGCATTTCATTTTCTTAGTGGTAGAAAATAATAGAGTGTGACAAGATAGCAATATGTATTCGTGTGTCCCTGAAATTACATGATACCATAAATAAATACTTTGTAAAGTGTTATCTAAATAAACGTAAAGGCTGTTTAAAAAAATGTCTTCCATGCCTCTTGGCATGAAGCCATTTTTATGCGAAAATCAGGAATATGCTCTGAACGGGTGGCAAAATCAGCCAAGATGTTGGTGTCTACTTAAGGCTTTTGTGTGCTGACCTGGCGTCATGTCTGACAATAGTCAGAAAAGTGTGGTCATTGAGAATTTCTGGTTACTCACCACTTGTTAAGTGAAATACTAAGAAAGCAAAGGCACATTTACTTTTTAACCATCTATTGTTCAATGTCTAACAATCTGTTCCATGAAAATAACTTCTAAATCGCCAGATGAAATGAGTTATTTAAAATATTTTAAAAGACAAACAACCTTTTTTTCTTTATCCTTCTTTGGGAGAAGGGAGAGGGTATGAAGATAGACAAAAAGTAATTTCCTCGTTCTTTGAAATAAAATGTTGAGCTTATGTACGTTTTTCTAGTAATATCATTTGCTAGAAAGTGTTTATTTTATCATTTCATTTAAAACATTCTTAATTCCTTGTTGAGACAAGGTGTGGTTATGAAAACATGAAAAAAATTTAAGCCCAGGTAGGCCAGGCATGGTGGCTCCGCCTATATTGCAGCAATTTGGGAGGCTGAAGCAGAAGGATTGCTTGAGCCTAGGAGTTCGAGAACAACCTGAGCAGCATAACAGGCCCTCATTTCTACAAAAAATTAGCTGGGTGTGGTGGCGTGCGCCTGTAGTCCAGCTACTCTGAAGGCTGAGATGGAAGGATCACCTGAGCTCAGGAGTCGAGGCTGTGGTGAGCTGTGATCATGCCACTGCATTCCAGCCTGGGTGACAGGGGAGGGAGACCCAGACTAAAATATATATTGGGGGGCTCCAAAAATGTGTATACACATTTTAAGAGATGTTCACCATAATTAGAAGTGTCTGGATGCTGGATGCAGAAGTCAAATGTGATGTGTATTCACCTTTTGAATATTGCAATTTTAATACAGTTCTTTTCTTTCTTAAAATGTATATACATTTTTTGGCACCGTGTGTGTGTGTGTGTGTGTGTGTGTGTGTGTGTGTGTGTGTGTGTGTGTGTAATACAAGCTCAGATGATAGGTACTGGAAAATTCTGTACTTTTATTCAGTGTAAACACTGACATGCTTACACATTTATGCCACTCTATCCTTCATCCTCAATTCAATTCTTAATCTTGGGTTTAATAGTTCATTGCTACGCTGAAAAGATTCATGAAAGCCAGCTTTGCCACGCAGTTTATTTTTCCATGCTACCTCCATGATGGTTTTAGTCTGGGTAGTAACTCATCAGAAAATAACAGGTTGTTTTTTTCTCTTTGCTGTGCTCAGAAAGCACATTTTCACTTGCTTTAATGAATTTGAGTTTTCTTATTACCTTTCCTTAAAGGCCAAGAAACTCATGAAATAATAGGTGAAAAATGCTTTGAACCATAAAGTTACTAGACAGAAGTAAGATGTGTATACTTCTAATATTGACTAATCGGTCTCCTGTCTGGCTCAGAGAGATGCTTAATGATTTGAATCTGGCATAAATTAAGCAATGCTGAGACTTTTATAAATGAGTACATAGCCTTACATAACTCAGTCCTCTGAATGGCCTGAGGAAGGTGGGAAGAAGAGTTGGAATATTCTTTGTGCAAACAGAGAAACTAATTAATGTGTCCAGGACCTCCTCTGTGAGTCAGTTTTAACGGGATTGTTAAATACTATGTGCTCCAGTGAGTTTTAACACAGTGTGTCAGTTGCTCTTGGCCTTTCTGTTTATCAATACTATCTACAAGATGTTAAACCACAGGGAAGTCGAAGCTTTATTAGCTATTTTATCCTGCCAAGACTGTGGGGTTTATTGACTTCATGGCCTCCATGTTCCTTGACATCCAGGGCGTCTCCTATTAGATTAATACCCAAGCATGTAAGGACTCAACAACACCACATTGGGGGCTTTTGAAGCACCCACCCCATGGGTGTCAGAAAAATCTATTACTTTGTTCAGTTAAATTCTGTTTTAGCACGTCAGATGTACTTGGTAGCCTGTTGTTGAAGTGGAAAGTGAACCTAGTTAGACCAGCCAGGCTCAAAATTATTCCGTCCCTTTTCAACTCTTTCATTATACCTATTTTCATAACTATGTAACCAGAACACTTCAGAAGCTGCGCCAAGGAACTTACTACTAGGATCTCATTTTTACTTTTTGTAAAGAAAAAATTCATAATTGTATGCATTTGAAAAAATGTGAAAAGCATAGAAATTTAAGCCATTTGAATGGAGTTTTTTGCTTGTCTTCCTTATCTGTATTTTCTACATTGGTAAGGTTTTGCTTGTATCGTGAAATCAAAGTATATTAAGGAAAAAAAAAAGCATGCTGAGGTACAAATGGCTAACAATTTTGCCTTTTTTCTGTTCTGTTCTAGAAATCGAAGCCAAGGAAGCTTGTGACTGGCTACGGGCAACTGGTTTCCCCCAGTATGCACAGCTTTATGAGGGTAAGTGTGAGTGTCATTTTAAAAAATTAGCATAAGCATAATCCTTGGTTCATGATAATTATTGATCTGTGACTTATTTTCTAGAATTTTATTACTTAAATAATTCACTTAAAAATAGGCCAGACGTGGTGGCTCACGCCTGTAATCCCAGCACTTTGGGAGGATGACCCTGGAGGGTTGCTTGAGCCTAGGAGTTTGAGACCAGCCTAGGCAACATAGTAAGACCTCATCTCCACAGAAACATAAAAAAATTAGCCAGGCTTGGTGGAGTGCACCTATAGCCCCAGCTACTCGGGAGGCTGAGATAGAAGGATTACCTGAGCCCACCAGGTTGAGGCTGTGATTGAGGTGTGATGGTGCCACCACACTCCAGCCTCCATGCAATAGAGTGGGGCCTGGATTCAAATAAGTAAATAAATAATATAGTGAAAACCTGAGTCCCCCACTCAGAAGGAAAGCTAGCACCTTGATAACATAGCTACTTACTCCCTCATTGTCCCTCTGCCAGCCCCTACCCAAAGTAACCATTATCCTGAAACCTAACTTTTTTTTTTTTTTTTTTGAGTCCGGGGTCTCATTCTATCACCCAGGCTAAAGTGCAGTAGCATGATCATAGCCCACTGCAGCCTTAACCTCCTGATCCTTCCGCCTCAGCCTCCTGAGTAGCTGGGACTACAGGCATGCACCACCACACCTGGCTCATTTTTTGATTATTTGTAAAGACCGAGGTCTCCCTATCCATCTCCCTATGTTGCCCAGGCTGGCAATTCTCCTGACTCAGTCTTCCAAAGGCTGGGATTATAGGTGTGAACCACAGCACCCGCCTCTTTCTTTCTTTCTTTCTTTCTTTCTTTCTTTCTTTCTTTCTTTCTTTCTTTCTTTCTTTCTTTCTTTCTTTTTCTTTCTTTCTTTCAAGATATTTGGTTAATCTGGATGTTTATTTTGGTGGAGTTGTTTATCTTCCCTTTAAAGAGAAGTTTTGACCTGTTAACATTCAGTAGGGCTTTGGAGGGAGGAGGACCAGCATTGTATTGGATTTTCAATTTGCAACTCTACTGGAGATAGGAAAACGTAATTGCATTTGCAGTGGCACTAAAGTGGCTGTCCTTTTGTCCCCTGGTTTAGAAATCAAATTTCCTTCAATTACACCCAATTTTGGTGTTGACTTGCTGCCAAGCAGCACCTTCTTGTGATGCATGTTTGCTGAGACCTGGCTCCGGTCCCTGTCTTAATTCTTTCCTGTCGGAAAATGCAGACTGCATTTTCACAAGTTATGTTTGAGGTCCCTTTAGGTTAACAAGTCTTTTGAAGCATAACCTACTTTTGAGGTACACTGTATATTGTTCCGGGGCATCACATCTCTTCTTCATCCTGCCACTGTGTGCAGGGTAAGGACACACACACCATACCAGTGCACACATTCCTTGTCTTCCTGTTTAGCTTTATTTTGGTACTTGGCAATTTATACTTCCTGCCTTTCAACCCACGCTGGAAATTGGGTTCAGAGAACCTCTATACATCAGTGAACTATCATCTTTTAAAAGCCAGTCTTTCCAGAAAAGAGAAAATTATTGGTATAATTATTTCACTCCTTACTTGCATTTAATACCCACCAGATTAAACTGAAAAGTTCATTTGGATTAGAAAGTAATATTTAATATAGCTCCGGGTACACTAAGTTAGAAATTGCTAAAATAACACAGTTGCCTTCTCACATGTGATGGACATGTGAACTATCAGTTTACGTTTATAGATCTTGTATTATACAATGCAGGTATATTTAATTGGCTCTACTGTAATACTTAGAGCTCTTGGTGTCTGTTCAAAGTGAAATATAGTATCACAACCTCCAAACAGTCACAGTGTCTTGCTTCAGGTACTAACATTGTTGTTTACATTACTATAAACCTCCTCTTATATTTCTACTGTAAAGTACCAGTTTATTTGCCTAAGAGCCAGTTGGTCTGTAAATTAATGAAGAAATATGATTCTAAATTTTATATCTTCATAAATCTTTGGACTATATCTACTCCTTGGTCTGCCTATATTATCATTCTCTGAACAAGCTTAGCAATCCGACTCTAACCTTCAGAAAAAAAGAATAGACTGAAAATGAGCACTCAATCTGATAGCTTTTAGTATTGTAAAAAAACAAAATCAAACTAAGGACTCCAAGTATTATTTCTAAGGATTAGATTACTAGGAATAAGAAGTTCCATACCATTTTGTAAAACCAGTGATCATAATTCAGAAATGATAAAAGCATAACACATAGTCATGCATAACCAAGAACTATAACAGTACTAATTATCTCCATCTTCAAAACTACCGGCAACCATGTCTGTTGCAGTATGCGACGTTAGCCATTTTGAAGGCCAAAGAGATTGTTTAGGTTATGGTCATCCTGCTTTCCTACTGTGATGACTGATTTTGCCCATGCCTAACCCACAGAATTGCACCGAGGAACTCTTCTCATGGCATTGGACAAATTTTCTATAGGGTAGGCCGTGATTTATCTACCCTCATATCTGGCACTCCAAAAGGGTGATAATTTGCCTTTATTCATGGCAGTTTTAGAGTTGCTGTAAATTTCCATGGAGGTGCTCTTGGTCTGTTTCCTCTCCTCTCTTCTTGGGTGTATCTGTCTACAAAGGCAGTCCAGAAAAGGGAATTCTTCCATTGAGTTGACTGTTTTCCCCCCTTCTGGTTGTCAGTCCTGATACAACTTCATTGTTCTGAGAGAGTTGAACTCCTACAGATTAAGGGATTTGGGAGTCTATTGTTCTACAGTAACTTTATAGCTAGCCCTTTGTTTTAGGGGGAATTACATAAACTCCTGCAAAGTCATACTGAAGTGCTAATATTTGTTTTAAAATAGTATATCATGAATTCCCCTTAGCTCTTGGTGCCTTGCAAATAGATTCAGTTCCTTTTACTGCCACTTGCCATTGTTCTCCAGATCTTTCTGTGGCCAGTTGTTGTTGTTTTTCTGTGACTTCTTCCTTGATCACATGTAAGCAAAGACACACACAAACAAACTCAGCTGCACTAAAGGGGAACATCCTTCTGGTATTCATTGTGGCTTAAATTATAATTTATAGCAGGGGTTTGTTGTCTGCTGATTTCTTTAAAGGTGGAACACTGTTTTGAACCACTTCTCTTTGACAGAAAGCAATCTCTGAGTTTCTAGACCTAGAGCTTCAGACAAGGGATACTGAATTGTCTTGAACTTCATTCTCCCATAGAACTTGATAGGTTATGAGATGTGCTGTCAATCTAAACCAATTGCTTAGGAGTTTTTCCCCCTTTGCTAAACTGGGCTGTCTGGCAATACATATTTTTTAATCTTCTTACAGATCTCCTCTTCCCCATCGATATTTCCCTGGTCAAGAGAGAGCATGACTTTTTGGACAGAGATGCCATTGAGGCTCTATGCAGGTAAATAGACTTGTTTTGAGTGTTTTCATTTACTTTTCCCCTTTTTAAAAAAATAATAATACTTATCACTAATTTAGATTTTGTTTCCTTTTGTTCTAGCTATTTATGTTAAGTCTTTGATTAGCAAATGGTATCGGGACTTACTGTGCTTTGAATCATAGACCTTTGAGTTAAAAATTGAATAAAATTCTGTTATTTAGTATTGCCATTAAAATAGCATTCACAGTGTCCTGGGAGGTCCTCAAACAATACCATTCCATACTTGAGACAGTATGATTGCTGAAATCAGGTAACTTACAGATAGTTTGGAAGCTTGGAATAAAGTTTTTTATTTTTTTTATTTTTTTTTTATTTTTTGAGTTGGAGTCTCACTCAGTCACCCAGACTGGAGTGCAGTGGCCGCTCCCGGCCACCGCAGCCTCGACCTGCTGGGCTCCGGCGATCCTTCCGCCTCAGCCTTCCAAGTAGCTGGAACTACAGGCATGTGCTTCTACACCTGGCTAATTTTTTGTTTTATTGTAGAGATGAGGGCTCGCCAAGTTGCCCAGGCGGGTCTCGAACCCCCGGGCTCAGGCAACTCACTCACCTTAGCCTCCCAAGGCGTGGGATTACAGGCTGAGCCACCCAGCCTGGCTGGAATAAAGTTTTTTAAAAGAGTATGTAATTGGCTGGGCAGCCCGAACCAGGTACCGCAGCAGAGTCCAAGCTGCTGCTGTACTGAATGAAAATCCAGCACATTCAGAGGAATCAGTGGGGGTGTAGGTTATGGCATAAGGAGACAGGACCATCACTTGAATTCCAGGAAAGCGCCTCTAAGCCTCTTCAGTTTCCCCAGGTATAAAATAACAATCGGATTAAGTAAGGTTATAAAATAACTCAGCACAGTCTTTAACATTTAGGAAACAGCAAGAAGTGATGTGAAATATGAGTAAAACTGTCAAAAATTTTTGTTCATTGTGCTGGTTGGTCAACAGTGAGACACTGATAACCTTTCCATACTCTTCATGACATTTTTTCTTTTTTTGAGTTGGAGTCTCACTCTGTCACCCAGGCTGGAGTGCAGCGGCGCACTCGGCCACCCCAGCATCGACCTGCTGGGCTCCAGCAATCCTTCCACCTCAGCCTTCCAAGTAGCCGAAACAGGTGCACACTACCACGCCCGGCTAATTTTTGATTTATTGTAAAGGTGAGGGCTCACCAAGTTGCCCGGACCGGTCTCAAGCCCGCGGGCTCAGGCAATGCACTCACCTCAGTCTCACAAAGTGCTGGGATTACAGGCTGAGCCACCAAGCCCAGACATTTCATGACATTTTTATTCATTTTAAGTTATTCGTGTTTTTTTTATTTTTCTCAAAATCCAAATGCCCCCAAAACTGACTTCTGGGGAAAAAATTATACACAGACAGAATTCATATAGGTTGATTTGAGTATAAAACTAAAGTAAGTTTACTTTTAATTTTATTTAACTTGGGAAAAGCATCATTAAGGTAGAATGACAGTATTTCTTTCCCCTTTGTAGGCAAAGAAAGCAGTGATAACTTTATTAAAGTACTGGTTTTTGCCTTTCTTATGTAATACAAGTTTATTTGAAGCAGCCAACTTAAGCAGTAGGAGGTAGATAGGATGTTGAGAAGGGTATTGTGTAGTGGACCAGTTCTCATGGCTTTAAAAAAACATAGAAGTCATATTAACCACAGAAACATCGCCACTTTTCTAGTTCAATTAAATGACTGCTTAGAAATGTACAGGCCACTCACACAGTTTCTGAAAGAAACGTAAGTCTAAAATCTGCATTGTGGTGTGTAATATCATAACTATGTCATCTGGAATGAAAAAATGTCACTGATGCAGTTCATGAGGGGAAAAAGTTCACATCTGGAATATGAACTACTCCAGACATTTTTTGAATGTTTTAATGCTTAGTTGTGAGGCAGAATTAATTTCTTTTCAATTCATCACTGGTGATAATGCATATGAATGAGGTCATTCCTAAGATGAATCTTAGGAAATCTTTAAGAATTGCATCAGATCACCCATTTCACACACTTTAAGCCACTTAGGGAGTGGGCCCGATGAACAGTAGCAAGCGCTTAGGAATTCTTGGGTCATAAAAATATCACCACAACACTTCAGCCTGAAGGATCATGATTAAATTCTTTTTTTTTTTTTGAGTTGGAGTCTCACTCTGTTGCCCAGGCTGGAGTGCAGTGGCACGCTCCCGGCTACCGCAGCCTCGACCTGCTGGACTCCGGCGATCCACCTCAGCCTTCCAAGTAGCCAGAACTACAGGCACGCGCTACCACACCCGGCTAATTCTTTATTTATTGTAGAGATGAGGTCTCACCAAGTTGTCCAGGCGGGTCTCGAACCCATAGGCTCAGGCATTCCACTCACCTTGGCCTCCCAAAGTGCTGGGATTACAGACTGAGCCACCGAGCCCGGCCATGATTAAATTCTTGAGTACTTTTTTTTTCCTAGAAAATCGGTTTGAAATTGAGTTTTCTTTTGCTGAAAGGAAAAGCATCCTCTGTACTTTGTGATGTACACTGGTTGTGAGTATGTTTCAAGAAGCCACCTCCCTTTGAAGAGAATAAATCCATGTTCTTAGATCTTCTGTGGCAAGAAAAGCCTAAAAAAAAAAAGGAGCTTGATCTATTCGGTTTCAGTTTTCCCTCACACTAAAGAAAGTGTTTCAGGTTAGCAATGAGGCGAGGCAGTGATAGATGTCAGAGTGCTGTAAGAATTAAATATCAGGCCCAAATTTGAGTATGTGCAGAAAGGCCTGAGGTTGGGTTTTCTTTTTAATAAAAGAAAATCTTCAGAATTCACAGTAACAGCCATCGACTTGCTTGTAGTGGAAAACCCAAGGGCTCTTATTCACATGTTCACATAAATAGACTTTTTGTGAAAATGATTCCTCTTTTGAGAGGCCTAAACAAATGTTCAGAAGAAAAAGATGGGGGCCCTGCATGGTATATTTCAAGCCCCTTCTTTTGAAATGTGTTACAAGTTCTGTGTTATCAGCTACATAGCAGACAACACAGAACTTGCTTTACTGATTATGTGATAATCACCTCATTTGCTAGACCTGCCTCTTCCAGATAAGCCTATGGAATTTGAGGGCCTGCAAATGATAAAGCTTTAGCTAGTATTGTTTGAAATTTTTGCCTTATAATTTGTGAAGGTCTCTCTAGACTGACAGACATTTTTTTTCTTTTGGAGTTAGAGTCTCACTCTCTCTCAGGCTGTAGTACAGCGGGATGCTCACAGCCACCCCAGCATTGACCTGCTGGGCTCAAGTGATCCTTACACCTCAGCCTTCCAACACCGGCTGATTTCTTGATTTATTGTTGTAGAGATGAGGTCTCACCATGTTGCCCAGGCTGGTAACGAATCCGTGGGCTCAGGCAATCCTCTTGCCTCGGCCTCCCAAAGTTCTGGGATTACAGGCTTGAGCCAC